AATACCAGCTTTAGCTTTAACCATATCACTTGTCAGTATTCCTACCTGCACAGGATACTGCCTCAAAACGATGACGTCAACACAGCCTGTGAATCCTCCATCACCAAACAAAGAGGCCAGCGGTAATGGAAACGCACGCGCGTGGCTATGGAAACCAAGTTTCACATCCCATCGTGCACGCCGGGTGGAGTTGGCATGAAGCCGCAGCATCAATGACGAGGGAGCCTGTTAGAAAACAGAATTACGAGTCACTTTGGGCGAAAACTGGTGAATGCCCAATAGGTGATTTCTGTCCACTAACAAAGCACTCACGACTGCATCTTCTTGAATACTAAACGAATGGTTCCTACGTTGTGTCATGGACAGGAGGGTACTGTCGAGAACAAGCAATGGTGAATATGCCCTACAAGTAGCAAGCATATGGCATGGGCCAATATCTCAGCACCTCTGTCAAAATTGTAAACATTTCATGGATGAAAAAATTCCACAAGGACCAACGGCATATTTTACGACCATCCCTTAACCCTTGTCGCCTTGTGTACATATTCACTGAGCCGCAACTGTACCTCTAAAGGGGACACAGCCTGTTCAGACCCTATCAGTTCGGCTCCATACACGAACAACTTTTGCCCAACAACAATCTTTCTGTCATGTAACAGTCTTGTAAGTGGTCTGTCCAATGTGGCTCGAATACCATACCAGCCATCAGTAACCTCTATGATTGCACAACTCTGAAATTCAAAAACAAACGGAAACGTTTTCGATTTACTAACAGTCGTCAGAAAACGGAAAAATAACCAAAGACGCCTGCTTTTAAATTTGTGGACTTCTTTCACAATCATTAGCCTGAGAGCTAATCTGCGTCAGGGACATGAAACGACAGGCGGAAATCTTTCGCATACGCAGGGCAACTGAGAGCTTCTTACTTTATAATGAGTCACTAAAGAGTTTGTTCTTGGACTTTAAGAGTACTGCTTCATTTCTTTAGAGCTGTGACATCATTAGTTTCTCGAAAACACTACTAGCGGTAAACTACCCCACTTTCCCTCCCTAATCACAGAAGTTACATTAGCAAAGCATAGAAGTCCACAGGTAGTCACCTCTATTTTATTAACAGTGCCCTGCCCGTCTTTTTCGCCGTCGTTATCTGTCTGCTTTGCAGCAGTGTTGTCAACTTGAATTTCCGTTACTGTTACACTAGAGACACACAGCACCATCGCACGACTGGATGTATCATCCCGCTCCAGTATTTTCTTCAATGCAGACCTAAGAGATAAAGATAACGTCACTGAAAAACTGTTGGATTTTCTGTGAATACATTCAGATCTCAGTGGTACCTGTTGCTGTGATCGATTTCACGGTCATATCTGTACTTCAGTTGGCACAAAACCCAGTCCGGAGTCAGGCATCTAAAACACAAAAATATTACTGATGTAAGACGGCCTCGAAGGACACAACAAACGCTTGCAAATATATACTGGCAAAACCCGCAGCATACTTACTAGCTCCATGGCGCGAAATAAATATCAAAGTTAAACCCACTGAAAAAGAGAATAACTTCAAAATTTGATTGGTGTCGTCCTAACTACAGTAGAAATTGTGTTTTTACATCTTTTGTGAAGTAAAAACCTGAGCGTTTTCCCAATGGAGCTACAGACTAGTAAATATATTTAATTACAACTAAATTTTACGAAAGATTCCTCTTAACGCAACAAACCACACTGATTTACGAAAAAGCGTTGGGAGCTTGGCATGTGTTACATACCAAAACGAACCACACCATAATCAAATTCCCCGTTACAATGTTCAGAGCAATCAGTCCCAGCCGAACAATTATCTTCTTTTTTTTAATGCAAAAGTAAACTTACCTTCCAGCAAATTGACATGGAAATGCAACTTCCGTGGCGGCTAGTTTCCATACGAGCCATCTGTAATGATTTGCGATCCACTGTTCACTGATCAACTGACCGTCCACTCCAGGTGTGCTAAGAAACGCACTGACAAAAACAAAACAAGATCTTCCTGAAAATTCTACCTTGCTTAAGATATAACATCACACATTTCCACACATGGAAAAAGGCACACACCTAATCCTAAGAGAATGCAAGATATTTGTCACGAGTCTCCTAAAGCTCGTTTGTAGCCCTTTAGCACAGAGGCCAGCTTTCCAAGATAAACCCGCAACAACGTGACGAGGAAACATCAACCAGCACTGTTTCTTGATGCAGTACAGTGAACTTGGTTGATTGCCGTGAATCACCACTCAGACTACAAGATATCATCTTTTCACACCTCTCAATTAATTTTGACATCGAACTTACGTATTTATATTATTTCTTTCATTTACCTTTGTATTTCTTCCAGGCCCACGCAGCCATCAATCCCAGCATGCAACACTCCGCCGTCCTCCATTCTAATACCACCCCCGCTAGTCAACACAGATTCACTGAAATACTTCCTTCCGATGAACCGGAATGATCCCGCATTAGAGGAAGAAATAGAGATCACCTCTGGAGACACACCCAGTTCAATCAGCTGAAATAAAATTAAAATTACAGCAGGATCAGTCACAAAGACTATTTTAATAAAGATGAGCTGTTTCGAGTGACTTGTAAACAGGAATACTCCGCTATTTGGCCTCCTCATTTATGAAGAGAAGTCACGGTCATTTTAGGGAGGATAAGACTAGCAGCTTACCTCCGCTGTGGTGAATTGCCCTGGCAGTGTGCCATGTCCAACAATATCTTTAAGCTTTATTCTTCCATTGTGGAGACGCAAATGAGAAAGGAAACCAGGCTGCGGTTTCACTCTGCCGTCGGTCTGAAATGGAGGTGAAATTGTATTATATTTTCACTGAGAATGAACAGAATTAGAAATATGGTATCTGTCAACAACTCTCTACAGATGGCAGAACTTGTACGATTCAGTGGAAGTCAGAGGTTTCCTTTTGCTATTTACGTCTGAAATAAGGAAGTGTGATACTTTATCTATCCATTATTATTTGGATAAAACGAAAATCAACAAGCTAACCTGAGAAACAGTTCCATGATGACCGTTCTTCTCATCCATTGTGCTGTTAGACGCTGATATTCTGGGTTTCTTTGAAGACGGTTCCACGACATCTGAACCTTGATCCTCCGCGGAACCACTGACCGGTATACTAGAGCTACTACAACGCGCAAGAGGCGAAACCTCCCTACTGGCTTCCTGCTTTCTGTAGGGCGTGATAAACTGCGGCCGAGGACCACACATCCTTCGGTTTGCGTTGGAATTCAAAGGGGTACTAGTCTTTGGTGTGGGGGCAGCTTTGGACTTGAAGCAGCCCGGCGTCATAGCTCGAAGTGGCTGAAGAGAGCGATTACCATCTGACCTTCTGGACAACGCAAAAGTTTATTTGTTTATTCAGCAAAACTATTATAAAACTAAATAAGCAAAACATTTTTTTTAAGTTAAGGTGCTTCCTTAGTATTGCATCGCGCATCCCTACTGTGCACGATTTTCGCGTCATTAGCGGGCGCACATGAGCGCGTGCGCGTACAAAACGTTAGAGATTTCCCTCAAACTAAGCTCGATAGCGAAATAAATGCTCTTTTTCTCTTAAAAGAGCACGGTGACCCCTACTTTTTATTTCATAATTTCAATGAGAACAATATCCTCAATAAGTGAGAAAAAAATAGAAATCTATGGCTACCTTTTAGGCAAATGAAAGAAATACTACAGAGGGAGACCTAACGGGCCCAACAGCGCATGTCCAAATTATGCAGGGTATCTGAAGACATTTTTTTCTGGGACGTAGATGAATAAACAATCAAAGGAAGTCGAACTCTGTGTGGTATAACCCGCTACATTAAAAAATAATCGAGCTTATTTGTTGCGCGCGGAGATTACCAAAAGACATCTAAATAACCGTATTTGTCAGCATTGTGGCGTGAAAACAAGCACGGTGACCACCTCTTTTCACTACGTTTTTAATATCTCCTTATCCTGTAACAACAGCATACCAAGTTTCAACGGAAATCTATAGCGGGGTCTTTTACTAGGGAATCACCTCAAGCGTCTTCTGGGGTCAACTAGCTCAGCAGACCAGTCTTGATCCTGGTTCTCATCTTTTGAATCGAATAGGTGCGACTTACAAGTAGAGGCTTATTCACCTGGATCGAGAGGCGCTCTGCCAGAGAAAAGTATGACGTACAAAAACACGGCAAAATGATGCAAATGGTCTTTTGATTACATCAACGGACACTCTTTTTGACTTCCCCAAAGACGCAAACTTTCAAAAAACGAGTAAAACTCTCGTAATACAGGCAGAATTAAATAGTGTTACCTTGGCGAATACGAGCTCTCCACAGTCGTCAGGNAGTTTCAACGGAAATCTATAGCGGGGTCTTTTACTAGGGAATCACCTCAAGCGTCTTCTGGGGTCAACTAGCTCAGCAGACCAGTCTTGATCCTGGTTCTCATCTTTTGAATCGAATAGGAGAGCTACTTTCCCAGATGGGCTGCCAGTCAAACAAAAGTGCGACTTACAAGTAGAGGCTTATTCACCTGGATCGAGAGGCGCTCTGTGAGAGCAAAGTATGAAGCACAAAAACACGGCAAAATGATGCAAATGGATCTTTTGATTACATCAACGGACACTGTTTTTAACTTCCCCAAAGACGCAAGCTTTCAAAAAAACGAGTAAAACCCTTGTAATACAGACAGAATTAAATGGTGGTACCTTGGTGAATACGAGCTCTCCACAGTCGTCAGGCGTGCCCGGAGAGGAGCATGGAACCGTGCTCGCCGATCATGCAACACACCTAATAAGGAAAAGAAACCAGAAATCAGAAAACGTCACAAAGACACAAGACAAGAGAAAGCTGTATCAGACAGATATATCTGACACTCACCAAAATAGCGAGACCATTTTTGGAGAGTAACACCGAGAAACTTAAGTACAGAACCTCTCACGAGATTAATAGTGCTTTTCAACACCCCGAGTTGGACGATTTTAAACATTTCAAGGACAATTTTAGTGAGAAAGGCCAACATAATAAATGCTGAGGAAAGTGATTTCAAACGTGTTGATAATAAACGAAATGTAAATTTATGAGGCTTACCCCGGGATCTATATGTACATGTATAGTGAGATACAACTGATGTAGATGAAGTTTACCTGATGGAGTGGTTGTACAAGGCTTCATCCCATCACGTGTCTCTCTGTGACTTGAGTTGAACATGTCTTCACTACATCGCAACTAAAAGAATTGAAAGAATAATGACACAAAAGCATCAAATTTCATGTCAGATCGATATGACAAACACGAACTAGTCTAGGATAAGTTAATATTAGGGAGTACATTATATTTACAGTTACTAAATAGGCTACTTACTGGTGTCGAGCAACGTCTTGGAAAGTCATGGTCAGAAGCCCGTGCAGGCCCTTTTGATTCGTGAAAAAAAAGAAGACAGTTACCAAATCTGCACTAAATACATGTACTATGGTAGGGGCTGTTAAGATGCACCATTCATGAAGTACACTATAGGATCGTTAATCTTTATCAGATAGTTACCTTTGTCCCTTCCTGCTATAAATGAACCTTCTGGCGTGTTGAAGGAGCTGCATCCAACAG